ATATGTCCTCGGACAGTATTCTATGCTTACTGTTTTTATTCCTGCACCCTATGACCCAGCAATGGTGTCCCGATGACCGGGGGACTGCTGCCATCGAAGCCTCTGGCTCTAATTAAGTTTGCGAGTTTAAAACAGAAACGAAAGCGCGAACGAAGTTCGGGCACAGCAGACACCCAACACCAGCGAAGCCTCCCATCCGGGACTTTCACTCTTTCTGCACAATCAGAAAGGGGGAAAGCGTCGGTAGCCCTTTCCCCTTTTCTCTCTCGCCCTCTTTCACTAAACGGTCTATAGGTACTTACCTTCGACAATATTTCTACCTTTTCACAGTAATGCATCCGCAGTGTTCAAGCACGTCACTCGAACCCAGCTCACGAAGTGTATACGAGCACTGCGTTCTTCAGATGGCACTATCCGTCAGTAAATATTCGGGTATGCGTCGATGGAAATCATTTTACTTTACAATTGCGTTGTGTGTGTTTAGACAGCAGGAAGTTAGTCAGCGCAATTCCGCGTCAGGTGCCTGCGCTGTAAATGAAATTTTTTACCAGCGCAGTATGATTGCTATAGGAGGTATTCACTGGACGCCATATTTGAGGGCGATGTTTAGAGCGCATGCTCAGTACGAGCTCACATTAATAGCCTGCTAAGACCGGCGACCTTGATGGTGCTAAATGCACGCTCCAAAAGGACTGCGGAAGCTCGCCGTCAGCACGCGCTCAGCAGCAGCGCACACGGATATGGCCGCCAGTGAATACTCCCTATACTCCGTTTCAATTTAAGTGTGAGCGTAGCAGAAGCTACAAGAGCGAGCTCCGGGCTTTCAGCGTCTTTGCCAAGCACGCGCGCTGGTGCAGTACAGGCACACTTCAGGGCCACATGCTATACTCTGTTTCACCTTATGATGTACCGCAGGAAAGGCTACATGCGCGAGCTCCTTGCTCTAGGGCAGATCTCGGCGGCACAAGCTCTTGTGCACCAAAAGGGCAGCTAGCTGCCAACGCTATGAGCTCGCGCTTCTAGCCTTTGCTGCGGTACAACATAAGGTGAAACGGAGTATAGCGCTTGTAGCATCGGCTGAGTATATATAGCCTTGGGGTCTTTAGCTTTCATAAAGCAGAGTGATACACGGCCGCACACCGGTAAGATTGCTCAACCATATATTGAAACGGCCACGGGTGCAGTAATGGTTCGTTCGTAAGTTGTTGGTACTTTGGGCCTGCAAAGTTTTGCAGGCTGACGGCCGTTGAAGTTCTCAGGAGGTGGAGGAGACTTTGCGAGTTCTTTGGCGAACCAATTTATTTTACAAACTATGTACATCTTTACAGAGTTCCTAGGGGATGTTGGCATATTGGCATCGAATAGGTCTAACAGATGTCCAAATTCAGTCCAAAATCGCCTTCCCTCGCACCGTCCGAGGCTGTTGACTCCCTCGCTCTCAGAGAAGTTTCGACCAATAGTATCAAACCCCGTCGAAGTCACATGGCGTCAACCCTCCAATGGTTGGCTGCGGGCCGACACGGCCGTACATCAAGTTTGCAACGGCCACGGCTGACAGCAGCAGGCTGTGATTGTGAAAACAGATGTATTTTTTGTTCCGAACGCTTTTGTTCATGCAGCCCACTGCGCCACGCTGCGCGAACGCGACGCCGATGACCAACTTTCGTCGTGACGTGTCGCAGCCACTTATACCTATGACAATTGCTGGATCGCGCATCCCCGCTTATTCCCTGCAGCGTGAGTGCCACCGGACGGCCATCTTGCATGCCGTTTTTTTTTTTTTTTTTTTTCGTACTGCTAGCGTTGCAGGGGCCAGCGGCAGCGTGCTAAAGTCACGCTTTCTACTCGTTCGTCGTCATTCGCCGAAGGCGTTCTTTAAGATCCTGTGTGAGCCGTGATACTTGCCGTTAAGAACACGCGGACATTTTTACGAAAGCGCAATGCGCAGGAAAAAGGCACAACTCGTCGAAAGCAAGTTTCGCCGGTCTCGCGGCGTGTTCGAAGCTACCTTTTCACGCCGAAGTACAGTGTATGTGCCTTCGCACGCTTGGATACCGATCAAGAATCGATGCCGTGTGGACGTGTTTTGCGAGTGCAATGTGCGTGAAGCAGCTAGTATGTGCCTCTGGATCAGCGTCTTACTTTATTTACCCTGACGACTGTATACTTGCGGCACTCGCGGTCCAGAAACCAGTTTGATCCAGCGTCCAGTAGCGACAGAAGAGGGGGGGGGGGGGGGGGGAAGTACGTCTTTTTTTCGTCGTTAGACGATTTACAGAATACCGCGCAGTACAGCTCCTCATCACTGATCAGTGTTGGCTCATTATCACCCTATTTAATTGTACTTGACGTTTGAGCGCGGCTTGCCTAATTGTTATTGGTCAACAGATTGTACACAATCATATGGGCCGCGCTTCAAAAATGTTCATTCTCGCCGTCTTGTACTTTTGCCTTCGAAAACCCTCCTTGCTCCACAGCGTTGCTCTATTCGTGCTCCCATATGATCCATTAGAGTAGATTTGGAACATAGCCATGGTTAATAGTTCATAAGAGCACGTACAGATCACCCCCCCCCTTTTTATTGATAGCAACTCACCGGAACAGCTGGACGATTCAGAACTCCATGGCCGATATATATATATATATATATATATATATATATATATAATCTAAAGACATCTACGCGCGACACACCTTCAAAATTTCGGTGCGGCGTCGATTTTTGATCGGTATCCAAGCGTGCGAAGGCACAGAGACACAGCGATTCGGCGTGCCAAGGAAGCATTGAACACGCCGCGAGACCGGCCTAACTTGCTTTCGACGAGTTGTGCCTTTGTCCTGCGGCACTGCGCTTTCGTAAAAATTTCTACGTGTTCTCAACGGCAAATATCACGGCTCACACAGGATCTTGAAGAACGTCTTCGGCGAATGGCGACGAACGAGCAGAAAACGGGTCTTTAGAACGCTGCCGACAACCTCTGCAACGCTAGCAAAAAAAAAAAAAAAAAAAATGGCATGCAAGATGTTTGTCCGGTGGCTGCACTCGCGGAGCGGGGATGCGCGGTCCAGCAATTATCAGATCAGTGTTCGCAGCACTGTGACTCTGCTGTGAATTAACACGGGACTGCTACATTTTTATTATGCTTTCGCCATTTTTAATGGTTTTCATTTATCGCCCTTGGTGGTTCATTGAACGGTGGGGTGCGAAAACAGTTATTATATTCGGTCTCACTAAAACCATGCAGTACAGCCTAAGCTACAAGGGGGCAGAGTGCACTAGAGCCCTGCACGGCCCGGAATTTCTAGGCCCGGCCTGACCCGGCACGGTAGAGGCACGTCCCAGGCTCGGCCCGAGCCCGATAGAATATTTAATTTCTAGGCCCGGCCCGACCCGGCCCGGAAGAGACACTGCCCGGGCCCGGCAGAATTTTTAGACAGAAGCTTAAACCCGGCCCGAGCCCGATTCTTTTTCTTTTTTTTTTTTCTTTTTTTTTTTTTTTTAAATAAGCCTGAGCCCGATTCTTTTTCTTTTTTTTTAATATAAGCCTGAGCCCGGCCCGATCCTGACAGATTATTTACATGAGCTCGAAAAAGTTTGCAGGCTTTAACCTAAAAACTGTTTTAGCATAAAGCATGCATATTTTATTTAAATTTTTTCATGATGAAAACAGCGCGAAACACAAGGACACAGAGGAGAGAAATACATACAGGACGAGGCGCTGTTCCTGCATGTATTTCTCTCCTCTGTGTCCTTGTGTTTCGCGCTTTTTTTCATCATGAACGTTTACCAACCCAACTGTCCATTTTGTTTTTTGATTTCTTTTACACTTGGGCAGAATTTTTTTGACGCGATAAATATCCCGACTTGGGCGATGTATTTTCGAGAATATGGGGAAAATATGCAGTTGAGAAGTAATTAAAAAAAAAGTAACATATATTTTATTTTTGTCATTTTTTTTTTCAATTCGTTTTACAGAGAACTTTCCTCTCTGCATGTTTTTGTGGAGAAACAATCACAATCACGCTAGCACATCTACAAAAGGCTGTATAAGCATAATCTTTGGTGGCATAGTAAGGCTCCCTGCACAAATTGCAAAGTCAAACTGAAATTTTTGCTGATTTTTTTTTTTTAGTTTGAAACAGAGGAAAAGGACTCCCATGTTGTACCCTGCGACTGAACTGCCCTCGTTTTCTTGACCACACTTTCCCGCTACGCTGGTGGAATCCATACTCCTTTTATCCACCTGAAAACTTGCCAAGTGCAAGACGTCTTTTGTTCTTTTTTTTTTTTGTGTGATTTTGCATTGCACTTGTTTTCATTTAACCTAAAAGATCAATGAGCACACTTTTTGTTATCAACAATTTAGAATTTGCGGCACACGAGTGCCAAACCACGGCCCGAGCCGGCACGGCCCGAAGATTTTTTTTGTTCAAACCCGAGTCCGGCCCGGGCCTGAGAAAATGCGCGCTACCCGGCCCGAGCCCTACCCGTGGGCCGGGCCGGGTTTGGGTTTTCGGACTGACCCGGGCCCGTGCAGTGCTCTAGACTGAGTGTACCGTGTACCCCGACCTGTTCAAGAGGAGGGCAAGAAGGAACCGGGCAATCACAGCCCTTTTTTCCCGTTCCTCCTTTTCCTCCTTTTGAACATGCGCTCTATCTCCCGACCCCTGGAGCTTTGGCCGTACTGCACGTTTTTAGTGAGACGGAGCATGATTGCGTTTACCAGTGAACGTCATGTTGGTCGGTCGTGTCCGATTAATCTATCCCGTCTTGTCTTTGTTTTGCACACCACTTGCAGCGCATGCCCATATTCCGTACAAAATACTGATTGCCCTGATTACCCGATTGCTTACGCGAAAAACAAGAGAAGAACCCATCCGCCCTCCCCTTCTACTTCTGTCGACTAAACTGTTGGTGCTTGGTGCCATCTGACGGAAGAGCGGAAAAACAGCGTGCCGGTGCGTTTCTCAGTACTTCCAAGAGGTGGCGCTGTCTATTCACCATTGACTTTTTATCGGTCTCGCGAGAGCTCGAATAGCATGAGAGAGAACGGGATTTCGACGCTGGTGAAAAATGGTTCCTCACGTAACCATGTGTTCTCCCATGCTTCGGCAAATTTTCCGCGCAGGCTCCTACCTTCCTCTGAAATCGTTTAAACCGTCTTCTACAAGGTAAGTTAACAGCACGAGGGTTATGATGGAATACCACTCGTATGGGAATCTATCTGAAATCCGTCAATTCAATCTGCCGGCTCTGTGTCGTCAGCTTCTTCACGCCGGCAACAGCAGAACGGCTGATTTCCCTGCTTTAGCTTCTTGCGTGTGGTACTCATAGGTAATTGTGTGTAGCGTGTCGTTCAATTCAGAGCCAGTTGTTTTTGCGTGTAAGCGTCTGACGTTTGTTTAAAAAGTGATGCTTGCCGAAGAATCTCCGCTGGTTCGTTCAGTGACCTTGTTCAATTAATGAATCACGTGTTCTTTCTGGCAGTGAGTGAGTCTACTGGTATAATTTTATACCGTGTATACCTTGAAGTAAGATACATTTGGTGTCTGCTTCACGCATTGTAAGGGGGTTGAAAACGATTACTGCTGATGCAATTTAGTGACAACTCGTTAAATGACTCACGTGTTCCGGCGCTTAATGTTAACGTGAAGCCGCGATCGCACTTGCCCACTACTCTTTTGGAATTGACTGTCTTCAGGCTAAATGGATTGCATCCAAGCCCCTGAGTCTGAATGCGTACTCGCGATGAACGTTTCTGGCTGCGTGAACTCGCGTTCCCTAAAGCCTAAATCTTGTCAACATGATATCGATCTGCTAATTCGAAAAATGGCCCATTCCGATATCTGTCTTAGAGCACTGCGCGGGCCTATTTTTTGAAGGCCTGGCCGGGCCTGGGCCCGCTGACTGTCTCACCCGGCCCGAGCCCTGCCCGTTGGGTATCTTACCTGATCAGGTTCGGCCTGGGCCCGGCCCGGCTGGAGGCTATGGGAGACGTCTTGCCCCGGCGAGAGGTCGAGGCTTGCTTCATTGCCTAAATTCGAAGCCGCCTTAGGAAGGTGTTGGTGGCGTATTCAGAAAAAAATTGCCGCTGCTTCGATCATAGGCTTTTTCATTAATCTAAATTAATCCCTTAACGAGGACTTCCATGGCCAAAAGACATTGGCAAAAAGAAAAAGTTTTTTTTTTTGTTTGGTCCTTATTTTGCTAACATTTTTTGGTACCGCATATCTCGTCGAGCATTTTTTTTTTTGTGTGTTGTTATTTATGCATTGGTTTCTGAAGCACAATTAGCTCCAATGTTTTGGGACAGAAGGCGCTTCCGCTTTCTCCTGTGTGATAAAAAGAGCAACCGTCTAAAGATGCGCCCCAGAAGACCAACTGAAGAGCAGTGCATCTACAGACATGCCCCCCCCCCAAGCTGCGATCAAAATGGCCACACATCTGAAGATGCACTGCTTAGTTACGGGGTTAAACCAAAGCTGTGTGTTTGAAATCACAACTTTAGCCTGAGAAGCATTTTGGAGAGCTCTATGCTTAGGCACGTGGCTTTTGTTTCAGTCAGTTGGGAGGGTAATCATGTTAAATTAGACTGTTGATGCAAAGAAGAGAGGAGATAGTTCATATATTGCTTTTGTATGTAGTTATCGATGCAGGTGCGAACCGTCTGAGCACCCGGCTTGATCCCGAGCACTCGGCTCGGTCCCGAGCACAATGCTTGCCCAGGCCCGGTCTGGCCAGTCCTGGGCTTTCGGCTTGGGCAGGGCCCATGCAGGACTTTATTTTCTAAACATAATCTTTTATAGGGTGGTATTAGTCTGAGCAAAGGATCAATGTTTAATCAAACAAGCGGCTCTCATCGAAGGACGATTTAGCAAAGTGTGCTGTTCATTTCGGCAAAATGTGTTGAAACTAGATGAAATTCAAAGATAAGGGAACTGCTGGCAATGTGAGATATGTATTTTGTGGGCACGAAGCAATCACGTTATGGCTTTGTTTTCGTGTGTGACCATTCTAAGCGTAATGCCAACGAGACAGTGCAAATGGTTCATTGCTTGCCTTTGTGGTGGGGGGCTTCAGGAGCATACACAAGGGGTGTTCAACAGTTTATCTAACTTAATAAGAAGGAAGAGCATCTTCACAATTTTTTGTTTTATTTTTTAAAATAGTCCCTGGTAGCCATATGCACTTTGTCAAGAATTCCTTCAATAACTTTAAACTATTTGAAAAAAAAAAAAAAAATTCTGTTTGATCTTCAAAACAGGACGTCGTAGCTGCCTTGATGCCTTCGTCATTTGAAATTCACTGTCTACGGAAATATTTTTTTTAAAACTCTGGACAGTAAATAATATGAAAGAGCCAGGTTAGGACTGTAGGATGGATGGTTCAGCTGCTGGAACTCGCATTCACGAATTGCAGCCTGTGATTGACTTAACATGAGAACCGGTGCATTGCCGTGAAGAAAGAGCATGCCTCCTGCAAGTTTTTCTTGTCTTTTCTTCTTGCTTGACTCCCGCAAAACGATCATTGTGTTGGCTTAACTCTCGCCGGTTATGGTTGTCTTGTGTGGCATGAAATCCAGAAACAAAAGTCCTTCAACATCACAGAAAACAGTTGCCATGATTTTGCCAGCAGATTTTTGTTTGCCTTAAAACTTTATGAAATGGGGGATGACTTGTGCTTCCATTGCGTTGACCCCATTTTGGGCTTGGAATCTCTGTGATAGACAAGTCTCATCTTCAGTTACCGAACAATGAAAAAAAAATCACTCGGCCTTCACGGGGCATCTTCAAGTTCTGACAGCACTGGAGCCTCGTGGCCTTCTGGCATGGCTTTAGAATTCTTGGAACCCATTTTGTGCTAACCTTTGACATGCCTAAGTTTTGTTGAATGATTTTCCAAACTGAACCTGCCTAGATGCCCATTTCTTTAGCTATTCAAGAATCCATAATTCTTCTGTCTGACAAAATGAAATCCCTGACTCTTTTGCACAATATTGTGGAAGTTGCTTACGAAGACCGTCCAGTGTGAGGGACATCTTGAACCAAAATTTTACTTTTCAATGTGATGGGGTCTGCAGTCTTGCTTTCACGAATCTCCTTTGGCTTTTTCTTTTCTACGAAATATTACCACTGATGGTTTCTTCAAATCTAGCATTTTCTTACTTTAACTCTTGTCCCTTAAAATGTTAGGCTTGCACTGAGCTGCAACTGTGCATGTGTAATCTTGAGATATTTCACAACATGCCCAGACAAGCTTACTACTTTCTTTCATACTCGGGTATATAAATGACTGAACACCCCTCATATCTGCAAGTGAATTGAGTACCCCCCTGGTCTAATGATACCACATCTTAAAGTTTTAGTTTTTGCAGTATGTTAACAAAAGTTTGAGTCAAAACATATGGCTATTCGCTAAACGTCATTTGATAAAATGATCAATTGATAAAGTGACCACCATTCGGTAAATAGACCATTTTCAAAAGTCCATCAAGCAAAATTATAATTGGGGTTGTGTTGATATTTATACAGCGTGTAGTTGGTCAGCCATTTCAAAGTTGTGACGAGTCACTCGCTGTAGATGAGCAATTTAGCCAGTGCAGTACAAGCGCTAGCCTGGGGTCTTTAGTGTGCACCACGCAGTAGTGATACACAACCGTACGCCGGTACAATGCTCATCCAGATCGAAACGAGCAAAGGTGAAGATTGAATCCAGGATCCCTGGGTTCTGCAGCGCAAGCTTTCGCTCCACGTTCTCCGAACTGGTGTGTGCTACCCCACTCGGCCACTGATCCCCCTCCATCAGGCAACATTGGTGGTCACCGTCGCTTGCTCACGAAGTGCGTGATTGAATCAGAGTTCGCGCCGAACGCTGACGCAAGACCTTCTGTCCAATAAATGCTCAGAGTATGTGAGCAAGCAATGGCAAGCAGGTGTTGGTGCTGATATTTGAAAAGGGTCTATTGTCGGTCGTTGGAGCAGCGTTTGCTATAAGAACTATAAAATTTTCAGTGTAGTGTTGTTTCCATAGGAACAGCAGATAGTTTCTCAATTTTTGGGAAACCTCATATCAATGTTTCCCTTTGTGGTAACAGACTGTCTTTTCTACTTGAACAGTTTGTTCTAATAAGGAATAGTTCATATTGTAAGCAGTGAGAGAGTGCAGGCGAGCTGGAGCTGGTAATTAATCGACATCTTGTAAACCCCATCTCAGGGTTTACAAGATGTCGAATAGTTCATAACTTGTCATATTTTTATAATTATTTACCTAATTTTATTTTGCACCTTGTTTGGCTGGTGCATTTGCCACATTTATTTCGGTTGGTATCAAAGCAAGAAATTACTTAGCCGAATATGACTTGAGAATTTGTGCATGGCCATCCTCAGTGGCTCCGAGACAAAGCGATAACTTACAGAGCCCCAGTTGGCTGGTTCAAATCCTGGCCGAGGTACCTGCAGTTTTATGGAGGTTTGCTATCGAGTAAGCACCGTTTAATTTAGCTTTTGGCTGCATGTCAGAAGATCCCCTGGTGGTCAAACTTGGTCTTCGGTACTCTACTGAGGTATGCCAGATGCCATCTGTTGATTTGGTACATAAAACCTTCAGAACTTAGTTAATATTTGTGAATCGCTGCGTGCCACGGGAATGAAAGAACAAACAAAAGAACACCCAAAAGTGCAAGAAGCTGATTGGCCGATCGCCTGAATGGAATTCGTCTAATCGTAATATGAAATTCCTTTGTGATAAGGCTGTAGCTCTCCCCTGTACTAATGGATGGCATATACAGTGCAAACAAGCGATTGCCAGTTTTTTCTTTTTTTTTCTTTTTAATTTGAACCGCTGCCACACAAATTACTAATGTGGCGGAATGTCCTCATCGAGGGCAGTAGTGTAAGCGGTGAAGTTTAGTGCCAGCCATACTCTTTCTGAACAAAATGTGGAAAAGTGCCAATGTTCTGTTTGTGCTAACAGTGTCGCACTGTGTGCTAACAGTTTCGTACCTTTGGCATGTGGCACAGCAGAGTGTCTTTGCTTTCTAGTCAGCAGTCTAGTGACCGACTGAGGCCCTTAAAATGCTGCTTCTTTTTTGTCCTGCTTTCTCAATAGTTAAAGTAACTATATAGCTCCACTTGCAGAGCAGGGTGCCATAAAATACCGGGGGAGCGCCCACCCCACTTTCACTGGAAACTGGATTAATCTAGACATGGGCGCTTAACATATTACTTGCATAATTCCCATGTATGGGAAATGTTGGGTGCTTCTGCAGTATTTTAAGGTATTGCAATTGTTTGCCATTTGATGCCCAGTATTGCTAGAGATGAGAGTAGGGTGTTTTAGTAGATCGTTGCGATGACTGATAATGATACCCGATACTCCACGGACACCTTTGCGCATGCATCATGTCGGTATCGGGTATTGTTATTGGACGTTATTAGAGGTATCAAAAGAATCTACTTAAACTCTTCAGTAAGTTTTACAGGAAATTCTCCACTTCATTGGCTGTGCATGTGCCGCTGTGCCTCTTCCTCAGCAGCTACGAAACAGTATGCATTGTCTACTTGCTTGGACTTTGTGACAAGCACATTAAAACATTACTTTTCTTATAAAAAATGCAATTGTACACAAGCCAGCTTGTGCACACAACATTCAAAGAGCTTGGAATAGCTTCCAGCTCGTCAGACTTCAGTGTAAGCTATAAATGTTATGAACGCTAAGCAAAAATTAGGTTACACCCAAAACTCTGCTCTGCATGGCCCTTCATTGCTTCTGTACAGTACTGTAAAATATCAAGCAAGCGCCCTCTCGAAATTTAGTGATAATCGCAAAAAAATGAAGGATAGGCACTTGTCTGGTCATCAATTTTACATATCAATGTACTGTGCATATTTTCTCAGTTCTTAATTTGGGTATGGGCGCGGTATTCTACGGTATTTAATTTTTGTGCATGTGGCCTTTTATTCACCAGTAAGAAGCTTGTTTTGAAGGGAAAAAGATTGCAGCACTCTTGCTCCACCATTTCAGTAACTCCCATTTGTGTCTACTGATTTTTATAGTAGTAGTTGCTTCATTTTCGTTGTGGTATTTTGTCATGCTTAGTTGTGCCAGTAAGTTAATTGGGACGTATGAGTTGACTGATTAGTTTTGCGAAGTTTCATGGAGACTTGACAGCAAGGTTTCTTCATTACTGCAGGGTCCAGTTTTCCACAGCCACTACAGCTCCTCCAAGCGAAAGGGAAACAGAGTCACCCAAAGAAGAGAAAGCAGCGGTGGATGATGCTTTAGTTGCTTGCCAAGAGGAGAACCGCAAGCTTGTGGAGCAGATCAAAGCCATTGATGTGAGTAAATGCTTTGGCTAGTTCTTCGTAGGGTATCTTCAATGTTCTGGAGGCACAGAAGTTTTAAGGGTTATGTTTTTAAACGAACGAAGAGCAGGAAAGACATTTTGATAAGGGACTGACGGTTAATTTCAATCATCTGAAGTCGTTTAATGTCCAGCTGAAATCTTGGTTACACAAGTGTTGACTGAATGTGCCTTTTCTGAATGTTGTTCAGAAATTCTGCCCAGTTTTCTAGATTTAGGGATTGATTTTTTAGGACAGTTGCTGTCCCTGTATGAAGAAGTACAATTTTTATTTTCTGATGGTTCTGTTGTGTGTCAGGTTTCATATTTTATTTCCAGGGGGCCTACTGTGAAACTGAAACTATAGACTTGTAGTGACAGCAACACTGGTAATTAGCTGTGGCATTGGCATACTCCGTTCATGCCTAAGCAGAGACTGCAGTGGGAGCTTCGTGCCCTCCGGAGCAATCAGCCCTCTTATCACCTGATGCGGCTTTCTGCTCGTGGGTATGGGTGGGAGCATGATGATGTGTCAAAAGAGAGCGTATGACTGGTCCAACAAGGATGTAGCTTCCACCTCAGTTTCAGCTTGGGGGTGGACGGAGTATAGTGATGTCGCTTTTGTGCCACGCCACATATCTGTTGCTCGCTCACTCATTGCAGTTATTGTTGCTAGATTTTTCTGCATCCCAACTTAAGTGGCTGCGCTCAAGTTCGTTCGAGAAGTAGCTTTAATTGCTTGTTCGGACAGCAGTGGAAAAGCACTTGCTACATAAAAATTATGATACATTGCCCAGTTGCTTCAGCAGCAGTTGACCTGCTGGCAGCCTGCTCAGAAACTGAGAGCCTTTCTAAGACCAATTTTAGTAGGGATCCTGCACGGGTGGTTCAGTAGTGCCATTTGTGCCATTTCGATAAATTCCCGCTTGCCTGTGCCTTGCTGCGCCCCAAGGGAAAAATTGCGCCAAACTGCGCCAAAGCGAACAAATCTGCGAACAAATTGGTTTTTGAAAGATTTTTCGTTTGAGTCTGGCAACTGAGGGAATACAGTGGGGTTTGGCCATCACAATCCAATCCAGATTTCCGGCTCCATGGCACTGTTTCACATGTTTCGCACCAATTTAACCAACATTCGTAACACACTGCAGTTTTAACGGTTTTAGTTGCCTTTTGAAGTGCACCACTAAAAGTTAGCAAACAAAAGCAATTTTTTTTCTTCTTGCTCATGTTTAGAAGCGTGACTCTGTTTTATAGGAATGTGCTCGCACATGGTTGCCATTTCGTTAGCATGCTTGGTCGGGACTGCTTGTTTACGAATTGTTGCCTTTTTTCACGTCGATTGATGTGAATCCTTGATCATACTACTCATTAAAATTTCTATACATTAGGAAAGAAACCAGAATATTTTTATTGATTATTTGCTCGTTTCACGTGCGAAGACTTTGTATAGTGCCAATTTACCTCTCTATCTAGAGCAGGGGTCTCGAAACCCCAGCCCACAGAGGTGCTTCGTCCGGCCTGCAGTTGGCCGCGGTCTTTCCAGTGATGCCCGGCCCGCAGCCCACTATCACAGATGTAAAAATAAAAATGAAGCAAAGTACAAGGATGGTGGAAACCCAAAGGTTTTATTCTGGAAGAGCTGCACTTTTGGATTGCCAACGCCGGTCAGAATCCAGTCACGAGCCTGGGTGCAAGGAATGCGCACCTGGGATCGTCAGTCTCACGTGCTCCACGCGTGGTGGGTGTCCAAGTACACACACACAAAAAAAAAAAAAAAAAAACATAAAAAAAAGGGAAAAAAAGATGGCGTTGCAACAAACTTTTAAAGCAAAAGCGAAGATATAAAAATGATTGGAGAAAATCTGCATCAGAACGCGGGTTCTCTCGCCATAGTATTTGTTGTACATTGTCATCAATAGCATCACTATATTCATAGTTTTTTCTTTCATATCTGTGTAACTATGATCTGTGTCATAACTCTTGCATATTTTCATCATCAGATCTAGCATTGTCATTAGTCTTCTGCTTTGTGTTAATATATGGACTGATTTATGCCTGTTGAGTTCTCTGGAGCACAATTATTTTGTAACATCATACCTTACCTTTTTTTTTAGTTTTGCTCTATATTTTAATTTTTGTATTTAAATGTTTATTTAGGCTTATTTATGTAGTATTTCCTAATTTATGTAATCTTGTCTATTTTCTGACCCTGACTCCACAACGGGTCCCCAATCCGGTCCCTTAGCCAAAACGTAGATGCCTAATCTAGAGAGTTAAATTGGTACTCTGCATCGACCTCTCAATGGTTATAGTTGGCAAGCTTATATCAATTCTGCTAACCTTTGTCTACTAGCACTAATACAAACAAAACACAAATTTGACTGTTTATGGCACAACTTCACAGCAGTCTAAGGGCAATTTGACTGTAGTCTGTGAGTTTAAGAGTAAAGTTGAAGCTGCTCCCACCTCTATCCACTTCAGCAGAGCGAAAGCTGGAGAGGAGGTTGCCCCCTCTCTAGCGTTCGCTCTGCAAAAGTGGAAAGAGGGGGAAGGAGCTTCCACTTTACTCTTAACCTGTCACCAACTGTAGTATAGTATAATTGCTAACTTTGGGTTTTTAACGGGCATCACACAACTGATTGCATGAATTTATGCCATCATCACAGTAGTGGAACTGCTGCACCTTTTATGCCAAACTGCACCAGAACGGATAACCTGCTACATGCTGCTCCAAATGATGTATGTGTGCACAATTTGCGCCATGTCTGCGCCAAAGGGAACTGTTCTCGAAAAGGAGACTGAAAGTGTCTGGCACGTGTCATTCTTGGCGATGCCACTGAAAATTAAGAAAGTAGTTTTATTTTATTTTTTCAGTTGCCTGAGTACTATGTGCGAAGACTAGGGCTGCGTGAATATTGGAATTATCGAAAAGTAGTTCCAAATATTACACTACGTGCTATTCGCTTCAAAATGGACTGCAATATTAATATTTTTCGAAGTGTTGATCACGGCGCGATAGCCCCCTTGCGTGCACTTCTCCTCAAGCATTGGTGCACTGTGGAGAAGCAATACCCGCGGAGCTGACACCGCATACTCGCGACTCTCTTTGCCGCAGCGCAGCCGCGCACTTAGGCGAAAAAGACATCTTCAAAGTTGTATGGTGAAGGGTTGTGACATATGTGCCAATTGCGCCATTTTGATACAAACCCAATTTTCTGCGCCTAGTTGTGCCAAAAACGCAAAATCTCTCAAAATTGCGCCACAGTGCACCAAAGTAACTCAAAACCAAAACAAAAAAAGTTGGCGGCTACGCTAGATTTAGCGGGAAACGAGAGCTTGGTTGGCAATATTCAATCTCGTTAGAGTTATAGTGCACGGCACGGGCACAGGGTGGCACAAGCAACCGCCGAATTCGAAGATTTCAGCTGTAGTACCCTTCTATACCTATGATACATTGTCTTTTCCCGATTTTCCTACTACTTTCCGCTGTCATTTGTGACTGCATGCTACCGGTTCGCTGTCATGCGGCTCGCTGTCTGGCCGCGGGAGGTACGACGCACAGGCTATCAAGATGAGCAAACCTAAGTATTTCTTTCGTCTTGAGAGTAAACCTTTTCTTAAAAGTGTTATTGAGCGCCTCCATTTTGTAATTGTTCATTCGTGTCCGTAATCTTCTGGTCAAAATGGACGCGCCGTCGCCGTGAGGGTACTTTTGGTTATCACACACATGCTTCCAGTTTGTGGACAATCGAATGAATCAGTAACACACCCGTTTTTAGCATGCATGTGCTGCTCATAGTTTTTCTACCAATTCAATGGTTTTTCTACCAATTCACTATTTCCCTTGTGACTCACTTTTGTTTGGAGTTTTTTCTATCTGCACATGCTTTCTACGAGCATCCAATCAATGTCTGGTTGTAGTAAACCATGCTTCCCTGTTGATGCTCTCGAATCACCGCTTTAAAAAGTTCCGCTTTGACACCAGTTCGTATAATCTTGAGGTACCTGGTGCCCACCTAACTTTGCAGCAAGCCTGTTTCCTGTCTTCATCTATGCGCATAAAACTCACGTTTGTCTTTTCCGTTTTTCTCTTTCTTTTATATTTTATCTCGGTGCGTATCGGCACTGATGACTTATCGGAACCAGGATGGAAAAAAATAGATTAAAAAAGAAAAATCAGATTTATGTTATTTAAATCAGATTTCTTATGATTTAAATTGCTGATAGCTGCTCTAACATTTTCTGCTCCTAATATGATCCAAACTGTAGACTTTTTGTGCTTTGAAGTTGCTCCAAAATGCATAAACTGCTGCTCCACAAAGAGAATTTTGTGCTCCTAAGCGGCTTCAAAATCCTGATTTTTCTGCTCCAAAACTTGCTCCAAAATCTGTTTCACCTGTCTACCCCTGACGGTGCATGCACACGCCTGGTGTAATAAAATAAATAAATAAAACGAGAAGGAGGGGGGGGGAGACAAACAGGAAACCTTTTAATTGGTGATATTTACATTGCAGGGTAATTCAGCGAGCGATCGAACTTGCATGTCCACTCAACATGTTTTTAATTTTTTTTTTTTATATGTGATGTACAGATAAATGAATTGCACGAAACTGAACTTTTGTCTCGAAAAAGCGTTTTCACTGCGAGATAAAAATGCTTGAGTGCTCTGCCACACGGGCAGCTCGAATGCCATTTACAACGAATGACATTCGTGCGATTGACGAATCGGCTCGCGATCTGTCGCGCGTTGAACGCCCCATGCTCGGACTGTCGCGCGCTGATTGGCCGATCGTTCAAATGTCATTCGTTGTAAATGGCATTCGAGTTGCCCGTGGGGCACGGGTATAAGATTGCGCGACAGCCCTGCTCCCACTGCGGACTGCAATATTTCTGAAATTGGAAAACAGCGCTCAAAAAGACGAAGACGACGAGAGAAGAGCACAGGACAAGCACTTGTCCTGTGCTCTTCTCTCGTCGTCTTCGTCTTTTTGCGCG